GTGTGATCCATCAAATCCCAATACTAGTAGGTGTGGACGAAGGTAATAAAGTCAAGAAAATGAAAGGGTATCGGAAAGAGGGAATGGCAGTTGGCCTTTTTAGTTTTGCTGGCTTTAGGACATTATCTTATGGGGCTGTTTCTTTCTATATTGGATCAGCAACCTCACCACCCTTTCTTTGTCATTCTTGTGTAATCCCAAAGTCCCCTTCTTGTGTTATGATGAGTTATTAGCAGCCACCCTCCTTCTAACACATGCTGCTGGGCCCCTTCACCCCCCACATCCTTCAAACATTATGTTAAGACAATGATGGCAACATTTGGATCTATTATATGTGATTAGAAAACTACATCTTACACATTATTAGCTCCCCCTATCTTCAAAGGCCCTTTGAGAAAATGTCAATGTGAAGTATGAGGTGACTTTGATGGGGTTGTCCTAAAACTACAACTTGAAAGCTTTACCCATTAATTATGATGCCCTTTTTGGTGGTCCATTCGTTATTCTCAGTAATCCAAACTGAAAAATCAAAGTTTTGTTTAACATTTTACTATTAATGACCTCAATTGGTCTTTAAGAAATTGGCTATGTGTTTGTGTGGATTTAGGAATCCAAGAGGACTATACTACAAATTCATGTGGCTTAGCTATTATATTAGGTGTTTGCTTACATGCTTTATCGGCCATCTATTTTTGTCCATATTTTGGATAAACATTAAAGCAAACAGAAAATAGCAAATGGAATTCTATAGAGCAGAAAACTACGGACAACAATTTTCCAAAATTTTAAGGTATTGAGATAATGGTAATTGAGAGTTGGGTTTGAGAAGAAAAAATAAAGGAGAATAAAGTTTCCAATATTAATAAATATTTCGAATTTAAATGTTTAAAATAAAATGATATTTTAACATGAATATAAAATCTTGGTTTTTAATTTGATTTTGTTTACATAATATGACTTTTTAATTTAAAAAGATCCTCTCTTTCAATTCCTTTTTCTCCAAAACCTTCGTTACTTCCTAACATTCATAGAGAATAAATTACATACGTATATATCTTGAAAGTTGTCCAATCTTACATTTATAACTTTGTTAAAAGTTATAGCTATTAATTAGACACAATTATTTTGAGATTTTTTCAATTATAATGTTCTTCTTAATTTTAACTACCTTCGTAAACTTGCAAATCATTGAAACAGTTAGTGTTACTTCTGTTAATTTTTATTTTCAGACTGTTTCAAATTTCTTTTATGGATCTTACATTTTCAAACCACAAATAAACTAAGAGTTAATCACTTATAAATTGCCAGTGTAAAATTTTTTTACACTGGCAACCAATTATATCTTTTAATTGTGTCATGTCACTATTAAAAATAGTGACATGACCCAATTAAAAGATATAATTGGTTCAGTGTGAAAAAACTTTACACTGACAGTGTATAGGTGATTAACTCATAAACTAATATCTTCATGAACAATGCACATGTACAAAACAGCAAAAGTTGTTATATACACGACCCGCCCCCACCATGGTAAGAATTAAGAAACAAAAGACACGCTCTTAATTATATAATCAAAAACATCAACTCAGAAGAACACATTTATGGTAATATGTTAAATATCTCACCTTAGAAGGTTGTAAGTCAATACAATCATTATAGCTGGGTTGTTTCGCAACATGTTGATTGATTTCATTTAATTTTATCTGAAGCTATGCTTTGAATTTTTTTATCACAGAACTTTCCAACTCGGTTCTACACAAAACAGGTCACTCAAACCCAATTACTTCAAAGGGCAAGTAACTAAATGTAGCATGTACAAATCTGACTACAACTATGCAATAGTTTGAACTTGTTATTCCCTTGCACATATAATCATTATACGACATATTAAATCATTGCTTAAAAGTTAAAACTGTTCAATGATTATTCAGGAAAAAATATTTTTTACCTCTTATGTCAGATGCATTTTGAATTTTTATTTATTCATGTAAATCAGTTGCATATGCTATTCTTTGATTTTTGTGTTTGACCCAGAGAATGTAATCAAAATTGTAAAGGCCCAATATGTTTATTGACTATAGTTCTTGAACTCATGGACAATAATACATGAGGAGTAGTGGCCTTTTTTTCTGCTTCAATAACTGAGTGGCCTTAAGATAGGTTCAATTATTGGGCTCCATTCTGGAATATTGGGCCTAAATTGTTGTGAGATAAAGATACAGAGTCATTGACCTATGACCAAAAAAATATGGTGTCATTGACCAGAACCAGCGATCAGGCTTGAAAGAAGGAACACGAACTAACCACTAATGTGTCAATTTTGTCATTGTTAGTTTCATTTTTATTTTTTTATTTAATATTTTTAAAATTTTTATTGATATAATTATAAAAGATATTTTAGTTTTAATTAACATTATTTTATTTGGTATCCACTTATGAATAATTGCCTGCTCAAGAATAATTTTATTGTTTGCATGTTTAAGATTGCAACAAAAAAAAACCTAAATTTTTAAAAAATAAAATCACCACTTTTACATAAATTATACAATAACCAATATAAAAATGTCCTTCTTTTAACATTAAAGATAACAACATCAATTTTACGATCTATGTAAAATATTTAAAATAATCGATGTAAAAACATCTTCACATATTAGTCAAATGAGAAAAATGTGCGACACTGTTTCTTTGGTCTTTGTTAAATATATTTAGTGTATAACATTCTCTTCTTTTAAATATAAGAAAATTTAATTTAATTTATACCAATTAATAACATCAAGTTGAAATCAATTCCAAACGTCACTAAATGTTTACCTCTAGACACTGCTTTTTTAAATAACACATTAAACTGAAAATAAGTCAGTTTTTTTGTTCCATATGGATCGTTCACAACAAATCAATTCCTCCGATGATCTTTAACGATGACAACTAGTGGTCACTTGTGTCTTCATTATTTTTTTTTATAAAAAAAATAATTTGAAATGTGTAATATACAATTACTTATGAAAATTTTAATTTACAATAAAAATGTAATCATATACAAGAAGTTTTTATTTGAAGGAAAAAATAATTTCATTAAAAAAAAGATATATTCTTTATTTATTATTATAGAATTATGATTATAAATAATTATATCAGCTAACAAGAATTCATTCCATGTTAATATATGGATACACATTTTCAATGAAAATGTTGAGGAACAAGTAAACAAAATGCAAGAAATAAGAGAAAACACTCACAATATTTAAATAAATAAAAAAAATTGAGCTCAGAACATATATTTAATCATTCCAGTAGAATGCCAAGTATTTGACCCATCAAATACTGAGATCTCATCATAGCTCGTTGCTTTGCACCAGCCGGGAATCGAACCCGGGTCTGTACCGTGGCAGGGTACTATTCTACCACTAGACCACTGGTGCTTGGATGATGAAATGCTATGACTAACAATTATTATACTTTATTTACTCCCTTATTCTTATATGATACTTGTTCAGCTAATTGTAGGAGCGAGTGTTTATTTATCTTTTAATACATCTATTATTACTTATTTAACTTTTTTTTTATCAAACTTTCATTTTGTTATATAATTCGATTAATATTAGAAATTAATAATTATACACTCATGCACTAATAAATATATTGTAAGAATATGTTACTGTAATAGATATTTTCGAAATCCAGGTATGGAGGAATTTAAAATTTAAAATATGAAATATGAACCAACAGTGAACAGGAAACATTTATATATGATTCGAAAAGTTATTTTTAATAATAATTTTAAGACATTGACATACTATTTGGAATATTTAAATTTTAGGTAATTGTTATATATTTGATAAGTATTTTGACAATATTAATGGAGTATTGCACGGAAAGTTAATAAGTTTGCATCAAATCAAATCCACTGAAAAATTTTATTAAAGACTTATTACAAATTTTATTGTTTATAGATATTGGGAAAAATTCAAAAATTCATGGACCTATAAATATAATATTTTTAAATAAAACTCAGTAGAAAGAAGAAAGAAAGAAAAAAAAAGACATCATATTATACACCCTGTAAATCTTCTTCTATGGTTCTTCTTTGTCCTTTTCATTAAGTCAATTTATATGATAACGCAAATATAGCAAATTATATATGAAAGAATATTTAACGATTATGGAAAAAAATTGTGTTTTTAGTAAAATGATCAAACTAAAATAAAAAAAAATAAAAACAAAAAGTCCCTTGACCGAAACCAACCCAACAGGCAAAAGATTAAAAAAAAAGCCAGACTGCGTAGACTTTCATATAGGCCATGAACTTTTTATTTTTAGCCTTTCAAGCTTGCCAAGTGGAGCCTAATTAAACATAAAGACCCATTTTATTTTTCAAAATAAATATAATACATAATTTTATATAAAAATAAAATATAAATATAAAACTACATAAGCTTGATAATTCAATATTTTTACTGTTTTACTTGACATGTTTGGTCTATCAAGTCACACCAAATTAACCCTAATTATTTTAGCCTCAAAAGTAAAAAAATCTAGTCTGACCTCACCCACTAAGCAGTTGGGCCTAATTAATTTAAACAAGATTCATTGTACTAATGTAGAGCTTAGACATATATAAACAGTAAAGGTAATTTTAGTAGTTATCCACTTGATTTTACTTTGCTTTGAGAAGCGATTAATGTTAAAAGTGTGCAGCGTGAAAGAAAAGGTAAAAGTAGAAAATTCATTCCACCGCCTCAGTTTTTGAGACGTTGTTTAACAAGTCAAATACCCCAAATGAATTGAATGTGTAAACATTTCTAACATTCACGCGCTTCCTTAACTTCTCCGCCAACAACCTTTTCCAATCCGTTGAAGGATTCTCCTTCAAACACTTTCTCCAACGTATTCATCGCCGACAATTTCAACAAATCCACACGCTTCTACAACGCTCCAAATATTACAATAACGAAAACCACAACTACAAGAATAGAGAAACATGAAATCTATATAACAAATGTAGAAAGAAGAAATAATCCATATATATTATTTCTATATGTAATTCATTACACTAAAATACCAAATTGTATGAACCTTACACACATGGTATAAAATTGAATTAAATTTGCCCTTCCACGGTGTTTGACCGGTATACAAAACAAAATAAATAGTAGTAGTAATATTCAATAAAAAAAAATTTGTCATAATTAAATAATGTTGGGGTAGTTCCTCGAATACGGGACACCAACAACAACGTTATCACCGACATTGATGATTCGTACGAAGCGGTCACCGCAACCCCTTCTGGCCACCGTTCCCTTCACCGGTTCCACGGCGGAGTTTGGACATTCCTCCGGCGGGGGAGCCACTCTCACGGCGAAATGGATGACGCCGTTTTGCTTCCCCTCCCAGTTCCTCAGCCCGTAACTCAACATTTGCAACTGATTTTCCGAGACGTTGTCAGAGAGGAAATCCGAAAGCGCGATTCTGGCGACCCCAAGTGGTCTCGAAGCTTTGAATTTGTTGCACTGAACTTCGAAGGTGATGGAGGTTGCATGCGCGGGCACGTGCAGCAAGAGCTTGTGGTTCCACGCAAGCAAATTGGTTCCATCGTATTTGGCTGTTGTGGTTGTGCAGCTGTTTAAGGACTCGGCCCGAACGACGACGTATGCGGCCTCCGTTACGCTAATGTTTTCACCCGATATCACTCTGATTTCTAGCGTACGTGACCTTAAGCTTATCCCCATGTTAACGAAGAAAGTTACGTTGTGTAACAAATGACAATGAGTTAATAATGTATCTCACTTGTGCAATGCAACTCTCTTTTAATTTTCTGAGATGCTTATTATGCTTCAACTTATGTGTATATATATATAAAGTGGTTTGGGTTTTAGTAAGGAACGGAGGGAAAGGAAGAAAAAGTGAAGTTGGTTCGTTGTTTCAGTTTCAGTGTTTTTTGTGTTGACTTTTGACCTCACTCTTTACGCAAAAGACTTGTTATATTTTTTGTGAAGTTGTGTGGAAACGCAGATGGATATTGAATGTGTTACGCGCGTAAAGAATACGGGTAATAATCAACGCTGTTTTAATTAATTCGTAATAAATATATAATGAAAATCAAATTGTTATTATTAATAATAAATTTTATTTGTATGATATTTTATGATGTAGTACAATTTTTTGATGAGACGGTGATATGTTTTTCTTATGAGTGGGAATCAAGCATGTTACTAATAGAGTTCGTAACTGGTGCTAAAAGGATGAAAGTTTGTAACACTCACATATCCTGTTTGATTCACTGAGCTTGGGGTGGGAAAATTTTGTGCTTATCCAAATTTACAATGGCACTCCAATTTATGAGCAAAGATCGATTTGTATTTACAAAACTTCCGTAACACAATAAAGAAAATCTGATCCACGTGATAGAGTGTGGTCGGCACACGGGAACATGCAACTGTCCCTACTAAATAAGCAGGTGCTGTCCCCCAATAAATTTTATACCATTTTATTTTATTTTTCTTTAATACTGTTCGTAAATATTATACAGAAAAATGCAAGACCTCACCAAGGTTTTATATAATCATATTATTATATTTTATTTTAACTTTTATATAATCATATTATTATACGAAGTTAATAATAGGATTATAAAATTAGAGACTTTTAGGCGGAGACCATCGTCCATCGAAAAAATTTTGCATTAAGAAGATGATATAAATATTTTGCATGAAAAATCAGGTTTATTCAGTAATTTCTTATTGTTTCTATCGAGTGTTTTTTAATCAAGTTCATATATTTAAAAACACTTAAAACGTCTTTTATAATTTGATATACATATATAAAGTGATATCAACTTTCAATCTAACGGTTAGATTTATAAAATTCACATTTAATATAGAATTATTGAGCAGTGTTATACTTAGTAAAAGTTACATCAGTGTCGTTTGAATATATATATATATATATATTGTTGTGCACCGGGGGTTACCACACATGTACACATGTCTCCACATTGGTGAGATATTGTCCGCTTTGGGCCCAAGCCCTCACGGTTTTGTTTTTGGACATCACCCAAAAGGTCTCTCGACCAATGGAGACAAATTAACTATGTGTATATAAACTCATGTCCATCATCTTTTTTGAACGATGTGAGACTTTGCTTGCATCTCCTACAGTGGAAACTACGAGTATTATTCGATGATGGCCCCACAGAGCTCACTCACACTCAGAGTGCTTTCACCGCCGCTCCATCATGACCTCCCTCATGACAGCGGGACGCTCAGAGTGCTTGTACCACCGCTCCATCATGACCTCCCTCATGACAGCGGGAGCTGGTCACCTGATCAGACCATGGCTCTGATACCACTTGTCCGCTAGCTATCATCTTGATCAGACCATTAGTTCTGATACCACTTGTTCGTTGTCATCCTGATCAGACCATTGGCTCTGATATCACTTGTTGTGCACTGGGAGTTATCACACATATACACATGTCTCCACATTGGTGAGATATTGTCTGCTTTGAATCCAAACCCTCACAATTTTTGCTTTTGGGCATCACCCAAAAGGTCTCTCAACCAATGAAGACAACTGTGTGTATAAACTCATGTCCATCCTCTTGTTTGAACGATGTGAAACTTTGTTTGCATCCCAATATATATATTAATAATTTTTTATTATGCTAATATAATATCTATAATGTTGTAATCATATAACCTTGCAACTTGTAGTTGCTCCATAAGAAGAGAAATATATATTTCATTGTAGAACTTGAGGCCGACAGTATGTTTGGATAAGTTTAAAAGAGAGAGATTTTGAGAATTTTTATATTGAAAATAAAAAGGAAAATCTTTTTTTTAACGTAGAAGTTCTAAAAACGACTTTTAAGTTTGTATCAAAACAAATTCTAACTTTTATATGAAATTTGGGAAAAGAAAGTGTATGTGTTTGTAGTAGCAAATAAAATTAGAAACCGGAAATTCTTAAAAAAAATAAAATAAAATAAAAGATAGATTGTCATATTATAATTAATTAACACTATGTCAAGATAATAAAATAGTGTATGACCATCTCCCAATCAGTATAAGGACTTTTAATGATGTTAATTAATGTACACGGGCTTAATTAGAAGATTTAAATTATAAGGATTTCTTAAAAATATTTTTGACAATAGAGATTTAATTAATAATTCTATAGAATTATAGAAACCTAAATATTATTTTTTAATTTAATTCACTATAAGAAAATTGACTTGTGGTGATGGACATAAACTATTACTAAAAATTAAAAATTTGTAGATAAATGTCTTCTTCTTCTTTTTTATTTTTATTTTATATTTACACATGGACATTTTATTTGTTTATTGTGTGAATTATATAACAATGATTTTATAAATTTTATTTACAGAAAAATAGTTGTAAGTACAAGTATTTAAGTATGCCTACACTAAATATTTATAGGGAGAAGTAATTTTTTATTTTAACTACATGTATCACATTTTTAAGAATAAAATCTCTTTAGATATGGGACTCTTTTCTTGTAGCTAGTTTAAAAAAAATGTTGAGATTGTTTTTGTTATAAGAAATGTAAAATAACTTTTAAATTATAATAAAATTTTACAAACTAATAATCTTATTATAATATTTATGTGTGTATATATAAATTTTAAATAATTATATGATATTATAATAAAATTTATTATTTAATTATTTATATTAAAATTAGTTATTTTGAAAAATAATATATAAAAAGAATAAGAACCTGGAGCTGAGAGTTTAGAGTAATGGTCTCAATTATAACTTTTAGCCACAATTCTATTGATAAACCTTTCACTTACTAATGATTATAAGAAATAATGAATAATAATTTTTTTTTATTAGCCAACAAATATTTGTATTAATATATAGAGGTACAAGGGGTGCCAAAACTAGGGATGACAAATATACTCGTACCCGTGGGTAATATCCGAACCCGTCCCGACTTTGACGGGAAATACCCGGTTTGACCGGGTACGGCTACGGGTACGGGTAAAACCCGATATATTAAATCGGGTACGGGTACGGGTATGTACTTACCCGCCTCGTACCCGTACCCGTACCCGTCCTCGTTCTCATTTTTAATTTAATATTCACTTTCAATTTAATTATATTAAAAAATTTTAATATTTTTTTATGTGTGATTATTTATTATAATATGAGATAAAGAAATAACCTAATTATAATTATAATATAATAAAAAATA